CCCCCCCCCTTTGTTAAGTGTTGTAGTGACCTGCTTGGCACCTGCTTAGGAAGGGCATTTATCGGCCTTGCCCTGAAAGATTCGTATCCTATTCTGAAACTGATCAGCATTTTAACCTCCACCCTTCCTCCTCACCTTGCCTCTCTGGTGTTCTTTACTTGTGATTGTTTTCAGTGAGATGTGGGAAATCAGAAGTAGCTCACTTTCAGAGGCTTGTGGGAAAAGTAATTAGTTAACACGTGGCTCACACTGTCTTCCTCTTGAAGCCTCAGCCAGCTGTCCATAACCATACTCACATAACCCACTTTTTTTTTTTAATGTTTTATTTATTTTTGAGACAGAGACAGAGCATGAGCAGGGGAGGGGCAGAGAGAGAGGGGGACACAGAATCTGAAGCAGGCTCCAGGCTCCAAGCTGTCAGCACAGAGCCTGACGGGGTGGGGGCTCGAACCCACAAACCATGAGTTCATGACCTGAGCCGAAGTCGGACACTTAACCGACTGAGCCTCACATAACCCACTTTTGAAGTAGGCTGCCTGTTTATTTGAACTGTCCCTCCAAATAACTTTTATTACTTGGGTTAGTTTGGGTCAAAACAAGCAGTACTATTTTTTAAGCTGGTGTTCTGTAATAACAGAACCAAGTTTTCTGGACTGATAAATTTCAAAAGCTTGTGCCTAATGGCCTTTTCTTAGTGAAGGAAAGGTGAACTTCCCCTCTTGCCTCACCTCCTGTTTCCCACCCTTGCAGGCTCACGTTGGTGAGCCCCTTCTGCCAGCCCCTGAGGAAATTGAGGGAGGTACACTGTGTATGTTGAAACACTAAGGAATTGACATATGGGTTTTACTAAGGATCATGTATAAATTATTAATTCCTATTAGAAACAAATAGGTATTCAGAATTGTATTATAAATATTAATGTTTCCAGAAAAACAGCTTGTAGAACACATGCAGGACTCTGGGCCCCAATAGAGCTCTACTTTCTGAGAACCGAGGACCTTATGAGAATGGTCGTGTGTTGTGACACAGCTTCTCTTTTATACCTTTATAGTTGTCTGAAAAGCTGCAAGACACAGAGAATGAAGCCATGTCCAAGATCGTGGAACTGGAAAAGCAGCTGATGCAGAGGAACAAGGAGCTAGATGTTGTTCGAGTGAGTGTGCTGACGGCAGCTGCCCCAGATGGGCATTGCAGGGAAGGTGCCCCAGCTTTAGTAGAATGTGGACTACATTCATGTCAGAGGAATGCATTGATGCAACGTATTTATTGGAATCATTTCAGAGGCGATACTCAGATGAAAAGTACACATAGTTAGGGATGGATACACATGTGTTTGCAATCAAATGTTGGGGGTTCAGTACTTCCTTATCACAGTTTTCGAGAGCAACAATATTTTCCCATCTGGACAAGTCTGACTTGATTCAGTGGATCACCCATTTGCTTGGAAATAAAAACACAGCACGGATTTAATTCATGCCACTTATTTATTTTTACTAGGACTTGGACTTCTTTGTATTTTTTTGCTTTGCTTCTACTTGGAACCAGATTTGGTGGTTGCCGTGGAAACGGTGAAATCACAACACAGGCAAGATCTAATGTCATTCACCAGAAGAATTAAAAAAAAAAAAAAAAGGCAAAGCAAAACCAATCCATTTTATTATCAGATGATCCCAGCTATTTTATTTGGCCTTAGCATTGTTTTACCTTACATGTCAGGTTTTTATGGAGTGCCATCCGTGTGTTTGGAATTGTGCAGAACATAAAGTCACCAAAATGCCTGGAGGGCTTTCAGGCAAATGGCTTGCCTCTACACCATCGTTGATGAAATGGCACATTTTACGCGATGCTTATCATGTCTGTGTGTGTTGCTTGATATTTTGACATGTCCTACAGTTAACTCTAGGAAATTTATTTTTTGGCACGCCATCGAGACAGAGTTGTAGCATATGGACTCAATTCAAGTCAGACTCTCAGATTATTAATAATAGACAGGGTGTGAAGAATGTTTCCCTGCCTGCTGGAGGTTTGTGGTGAGAGATCACATGTGCAAGACCCAGCAAGTAAGTTCCAGAAAATCCTTTCCCTGGAACCTGCGTGAGCCCCTTATGAAAGGAACGAGGACAGCCTTTAAGTTGAAAATCGTAACTTTTTTGTTTTCTGCTAAAAACCTAGACAGAAAAAAGTAATTAGTAGAGAGAAGCATTGGCCTGTTCTGTTAACTGCAAACCAAAAGGAAAAGGTTACAGTGATTGCTGTCCTAAGCTTGTAGGAGGGCATTGTGAAGGCCAGAGAAACCCATTCAAGAACAGTCAGCCCCTGGGCATTCATGAGTAGATTCTTCTATGCTTTGCAGATTTTTAATCCCAATCTGACTTCTATCCAAATCTGACTTAGGGACTTTTGTCTACTGTTAGCCGATACGTGTCTAGGAGTTACAAATGAATTTTAAAACAAGTAAAAAGGAAAACATTCTGCCCCACCAGAATATCCTCGGGATATTCCAAAGTCAGCTATAAAATTATTTTTGGGTCATCTCTGCCTTGCTTGTCTCCACCTGCAGGGAAAATTGAGTTAGCTGTACTTATTAATGGAAAGAACTATAATGGTGATAACAATTGCTAGAGTATATTGCATGCATTACCAGTGAACAATTGAGAATGTATAGGACTTTTATAGGAGGCTGAGTTCTATAGAATTCTTATGTGTATATCAGTATCCTTCTTTTTAATTTTTTTGGTTATTTTCTTAAAAAAACTTTTTTAATGTTTGTTTAATTTTGAGGAAAAGATAGTGTGTGAGCAGGGGAGGGGCAGAGAGAGAGGGAGACACAGAACCAGAAGCAGGCTTCAGGCTCTGAGCTCCGAGCTGTAGGCGCAGAGCCCAGTGTGGGGCTCGAACTCTCGAACTGTGAGATCATGACCTGAGCCAAAGTTGGATGCTCAACCAACTGAGCCACCCAGATGCCCCTTGTTTGGTTATTTTTTTGATCCTCAATTTGCCAATCTGATGGTAAGAGGTATGGATGTTGCATGAAGATAGACTGGTGACGGCGAACTCTTTTGCAGGAAATCTACAAAGATGCAAATACCCAGGTTCACACATTAAGGAAAATGGTCAAAGAAAAAGAAGAAGCCATTCAAAGACAGTCTACCCTGGAAAAAAAGATTCATGAACTGGAGAAACAAGGGACCATTAAAATTCAGAAGAAAGGGGATGGGGACATTGCCATTCTGCCAGTTGTGGCTTCTGGCACATTGTCCACAGGGTCAGAGGTGGCAGTGGGTAACTTTGTGGGACCAGCAATGGGGGTTGCCTCCTCGGGCCCCCTGCCCCCTCCTCCCCCACCACTACCTCCATCGTCAGACACACCTGAAGCAGGTGAGGAGCCTGGTAGGAGAATTGAGGGTAGTATTTGGGATATTTGTGTTTCTTCTTTTATCCGCTGTCCATTTGTGCACTTTGCTTTTCTTGGCATTTTCTTTTACTCACTGATTTTAAAAACTTTTTACATTTTGAGATTTAGGTTATAAAACTTCATTTTACATATGCTGCAGTATAGTCTTTATTTCTCACTGAGTAGAGTTTCGAGTCACTGAAAAAAATCCTGTGTCCTTTTCATGATTTTGATTTTGGATTCTTTTACGTGCATGTGACATCCAGCAGGTGAAACCGTTCTCCTATTTTCAAAGGCAATTTGTGTCTTCTTTTTTTTGCTAGTGCAAAATGGCCCAGTAACGCCACCTATGCCACCACCGCCACCACCCCCTCCCCCTCCCCCACCGCCTCCACCCCCTCCTCCTCCCCCTCCTCTCCCAGGTCCTGCAGCTGAGACTGTGCCAGCTCCTCCTTTACCTCCCCCACCTCCTCCCTCTGCACCCCCGCTGCCTGGGACGTCTTCACCCACAGTGGTTTTCAACTCAGGACTAGCAGGTAAGAGCTTGGAATGGAGTCCCGGGTACTTGTGTAAGAAATACTCATTTGTGGTACCCCTGGAGGCCTTAAAGCCGTTCTTTGGAAGTCCAAGTCTCGTGCAGTCCCATGTATCTCCTCTTAATATCATTCCTGCTAACGTAGCCAGTAAAGGGGAAGTTCTTCACAGGAGGCATTTTTCTTTGAGTAGCTGTTGTTACGCTCTCTCTAGCAGGGAGTTCTGATTTTCCAGTCTTCCCACCTTCCACTCTCCCCACTAGGAAAGGGAAGGAAAACTAGTTACCTTCTTAGGGATAAGTGCATTTTCATGGGTTCATCAAACACCTGTGGACATCTGTAGTGGTCAGAGCTCTGTTTTTGGAAGGTGTTTGCAATGTTGTTTACAAAAGAAGAAAATGCCTTTCTGTGTGATTGCCTGATGTAGGTTTCCAGGCATTTCTCCTGTGCATTTGAAGATAGAATTCACTATAGTGGAGCTGAAGCTTCAAGAGAAGATGTTGCCAAAAGCAGTATGTGTGCCTTGAAATGCTTCCGCATAGCACATGCTGCCCTCCTGCTAGCCAGGGTAGAATGCGGCACCCCTCACCAGAAATAGGGTGTGTGGGGGGCGAGAAGAAGAGAGTCGTTCTAATGCCTTGAAATAGAAGTTCTGATTTCTGTCTGTTGGAAGTGACTTTTTACTATTTTCTAAAATACCACAGCGATTTTCTCAGTCATGGAGCATTTCCCTGGCATTTTGAATTGCTCTGAGCTTTGCCATGTCGTGTCTGCGTGACATCAGATAATTCTGCTTCGTCCTCTACGTCTGTCTCTTGGTGAGGTCTCTTATTTCTGATGCAGAACTACCACTCTTACACGAGTGGTAGTTCCCAGAGCATTTTGTCCAATGTCCACATGACCATCTTAGCTGTAAGAGATTTCCAGGCTGCCCACTCCATCCCTCAAGAGTGTCCCAGCAGCAGCTGTACTGGCTAGCCATTAGGGCACATTCATCTGAGTGACCCAGAGCAACCTCCTTAATTCACGTCGAAGCTGTGGTGTTTACTTCCACCCCAACCTCCACAAAATTGTCAGAGAAAGAAATAAGATGCTTGTTGAAAGTAATGTTCACAGTAATCCAGTGATTTAGTTCTACCTTTCAAGGTCTCCCCCATTTAGTGCTTTCTTCTAGAACTTCTATTGCTTCTGAAGTACAAAAGTTGAAGGTGTATCTTCATGGAACTGTTGGGTTTTGGAATGTAAGCAAACCAAAACCTCTTGAGAAGCCCCAGGAATCCTTTCCATCTACAGGCTGCTCTCAGTGACTGAGTGTGAAAACCTGGAACTGGCATCTGCACCTGGCTCACTGATGAGGCTTTCCTTGTAGCGCCCGGAGACACGGCTGCTATGGGGTGTCTCCTTTGCTACTACTTCCTTTGTCCTTGGCAAAAACTCCGTGTGGCAGAGCCTCCACTCCCATTCGCTCGAGCTCTCCTCTAGAACTCACAACTGCTTTAGCGAAGCGAAAGAGCCATGAGGCTACAACGCACAGGTCCAGGGCTCCCTCCGGTAGAACGCTTGTCCTCTCTGGTTAATTTTTTTGCCTGGGTTCTTCTCGCTACTTAACTTTAAAAATTTGCAGGCTCTCTCAATTGCCTCATCTTTAGAGTGTGGAACTCTCTGTTCAGCTGATGACCACTGCTACCGTCAGGGTTCTGCAGTTGGAAGTTGTCCCTTATGTGTCTAACACCATTTTTAGAGGACCGTGTGTGGGATTTACAAAACTTCTCTAAGTGCCGTAAGTGTCCATTGATGGACTACAAGATGTTCTGTTTTATGAGATTTAAGGATTATGAGATCATTATGGAGCTCATTTTGTGAGGTGTGTTGCCAGTGTGTTGGGTAACTTTCTCCCTGGAATCAAGAGGCCAGACAGAGTCAGGATGTCCCAGTAAGGCCAAGAGACAGAGCCGGGATGATATACCAAGGGCTCCCGGAACCCAGAAGCCTGTGACATTGCTAGGCCCTGGGATCCATGGGCAACAGGATGGCCTATCTCTTCAACAAGGCAATGAGCAGGTGTGTGCTTGGTGGCTAAGACGGGACCTGAACGAGGTGCTCTAATTTTATCTAGTTTTCCTTGCATTTTAGAGAGAGAACATAGTGTGGAATGTATATTTGAAGGGTAAGACTTCTTCCTCAAATCTTTGATGGAGCAGTCTGGCTACCATTTCCTGCTTCGGTCATCTGTAACAGACTGCTGTGCTGTCTCTTTGGGAGAATGTGCTTTGGAAGTTCACGATGAGAATTTATACTTGGCTGATTATTTTTCATTAAAACATTTCTCATTTCTTCTGCAAGACCTAGCACAATTCGGTATGGCTGTTTGGGACCACTATAATGAAATCATTTTTTCCCCTTTTCTAAAAAGGATTACTTTTTAAAACAATAAGGGAGTCTTCAAGGCAGGTCCGAATGGAAATGAATTTTTGGCTCTGTGCTGCCTTGCGAAATGTGTCCAAGAAGCATGAAATTCTCTGCTAAAAGTGCGTGAATTGCTGAGTGGCTTGACTCTAACCATATCTAATTTTTTTTTTTTTTATATTTTCTTTGTTCTCTCTGCTTCCACAAAAGATGGGCCAATCAAGCTTTTCTGTAGGTTGCTCCTCAGTGTTTTGAGTGTTTGCCATGTGTTCCTGTTGGTCACACTGTGCCTTGACATGTTTTCACTCCATCTTACATTGAACCATTGCATTTTGACCCTGTGTCTGTGGGAAGTCTCGCTGTTGGCTGACTGTTGTTCCAGGTTTGCTCGTGCATTTTAGTAGAATAGATCGTGGCTCGGCGAGCAGACAGCCTGGATTTTATATGCCATATTCCTTTCCCCCTAAGAGAAAAGGAGTGGGTTTTTTGTTGTTGTTGTTGTTGTTTTGTTCTGTTTTGTTTTTCCCTTTTAGTTTAATTGTCATAGTTGGATCCAAGGCATCAATTCTAGGAGGATTTTAGATTTATTCTGGGGGAGAAAGGGTAGTTGCTCCACAGGACAAGGACAGGCTGCTAGGTGCTGTGTTTCCAGACCTTTCCCACTGATCTCCAGCTCTCTCCATGGAACACCTACCACCACGTGGAGCCACTGCCTTCAGCCTGAACCCTGCGAGCACTGTGTCTGTCATGGTCACCTGTAGGCCTCTCCTTCTACAACCCACCCCCCCCCATTCCCCATTGGGAGTTAGGATCACCTTTCTGAAGATGACCTATTTTTGCCCGTGTTCTGATCTCAGGCTCATTTTTAATCTTGCTGAGGAGTTAGAAGTAGCGTGGCTGCAGATGGAATGACTTTTAGCCAGTGTCCTGAGGCCTGCGGTATCCGTGGATGGATGGTGGAGTCAAATGGCACCAACCCGCCGGCTCAGACTGTGGAAAGATCCCTGTACAGCTTTTCCTCTACTCTTGCTTTTTCTCCCTCCATGTTGTTCAAAGGCCAGATTAGAGGAAGGTCTCTTTCTTTGTCCTGTGGAGGACATGGGTTTTCCTGGGCAGTGTAGACCTAAATGAAGGGCAGCGAGCAATCCAACACTTCTGGGGGTGGGGACTAAGGTGTCACGTGGTGGTAGAAAGGCCTGGTATACAAAGGCAGTGTTTCTGTATTCCTGCATGCTTTTCTGTGGATTTATCAGATGACATTCCTGCTGTTTATATGGCTTTCGTAACTCTGGAGGAATGGCAGGCAGCCAGGTAAAAGCCCAGCGTACGTTGGGTTTATTTTGTTGTGCACTGCAGTTCTCTCCTGTGCTGATGATGGCAGATAGTGAAGCTCCCAAATAGTGTGGTGGGCGTCCCGGGATAGACTTAAGAGGGTACATGCGTCTAGCTAGATGGGTCTGGAAGACTGCTTTATGATGTGTCCTTAATTAATGGAGTTTTTAATGGGTTTCCTTTTTTTAGCTCATTTCCCCACAGTGAGAGGAGTCAGCAGTTCCTTACCTGACTCCTAGAAGATAGATCCCTTCCTCTCTATTAAGAGGTTTTCTGTGTTTTTTAATGGGTTCATTGATACCTTCTAGCTGCATCTAGCTGACTCCTGGGGAGCACTTGCTCCTTAAAAAAGGGGGAAGGGACTGTGGCCAGTCTCAAAAAGCAGTACTAATCCTAATTTCTAAGCATCCCTTCTATCATCTTAAATATTTTCTGTTTGGGGCTGTTCATGGCCCTGGGTGTGGTTGGAATAACTCAGCCTGAATATAATCCCCATTGTCAAAATTGTTCACAAGAATGTGTTGCTGCTTGACGTTACAGAAAGTCAGTCTTCTTGACGTCACATTCCTGGTGGTATAGACAGCCACTCCCTGCAGTCCCTGATCATCTTTTAAGATTGGTTTGGAAATGTATGTTCTAGAACTGAGAATTTAAGATTTCAAAATTTGACTCACATTCACCAGTGTCACTGAGTATTTGTCCTCTCTGCTGTCTACTAACATCATTAATAATTTTTGCTCCCTGGTACTTTGTCCTATACATTGTCCTAACATTGTGATTGTAATGCAGCAATCCATTTGCCTGCATTAAAAACAAAAAAAAAAAAACAAAACCCTGGCTCTTAGAAAACTTCCCTACAGTGTTGCATCAGTCAACCAAATGATAAACCTCAGATTACTCTTGCCAAAGCCATGTGTGATGTTTTCTGTGTTTAAAAACACTCGGGCACCTCTTGCCAGTGTTCCTGCAGTGTTTAAGTGGCATCTGCAAGGACTACTCTGATTGTTCTTGAGAGTCATGGGGTTTGGGTGGAATCTTAATTTGATCCTCTCTGACTTCTGTAGCTGTGAAAATTAAGAAGCCAATCAAGACGAAATTCAGAATGCCAGTTTTTAACTGGGTTGCCCTGAAGCCAAATCAGATCAATGGCACAGTCTTCAATGAAATTGATGATGAGCGGATTCTGGAGGTATTTTTTTTGTTGGTTAGAAACCAGGGGCTGGCTCTCTGTGTGGCAAAGTTCAAATGGGTGCTCTGCTAACCTGGAAGTTTCAGCAATAAAATGCTAGTATTTTAAATGCCTTGATGGAAAGAAGAAAAGAAAATTCTCTAATATTAGAGAATAGGACAGTATTTTGCAAGATTGTTTCAAAACTGTGTTTAAAAGTTATGTTACTATGGAGTGGTTTTGATGATCTTCAGTAGACGCCACAAAATATGTATCTGACACAAACCCTGCCCTTAATTTATAAAAGGGCATAAAAACCCTTTATTGAACTACAAGTGAATAAGAACTCAGTAATTACACTCAGTAGCTGTTTGATGGATCCTTTAGTCTGTGGTGGCCAGCTCTGCAAGGTAATTAGTGAAAGGCAGCTGAATTGGCCAGATGGAATCAGCTCTCTTCTTTAGACCTTCATGGCTGTCTGTGTGGCCTAAGTCATGCCATAGCACAAACAGGAAGATAGACCAAGCCTTGATCAAAGGCAAATACTGAGTAGAAAAAGTAAGTTCTTTGATGCTTAAGAAACTGTCAAAATGGTTACCTGAGTTAATTTTTAAGTATAATCCAATTTGCCTGTTTCATCCCTTTTTACTCCAGGATTTAAATGTGGATGAATTTGAGGAAATATTTAAGACAAAAGCTCAAGGTCCTGCCATTGATCTTTCTTCAAGCAAACAGAAGATAACACAGAAGGGATCAAACAAAGTGACATTACTGGAAGCAAATAGGGCCAAAAATCTAGCCATAACTTTGAGGAAAGCTGGAAAGACTGCTGACGAGATATGTAAAGCTATCCATGTGTAAGTTCAGGGCATTCTGGAAAGTTAGATTCTGATAAATTTATAGGATAAAACTGAAAATAAGCAAGTGATGAATTGGTAGGTAACAAATATTTCAGTAGCGGGGGCAAGATCAAAGATAAAAGGTGGGGCAGTTCTTGATATCCACATACCAGAGATTCCCTTTGTTACGTACGTGTGACATCAGAGTTGAATGAAATGCTGCCACCAAAGGGGTGGGCCAGAAATACCCCTTGGGAGTGCTGTCTTAGAGTGAAATTTATTTGAGAAGAATGACAAGTGGATTGTGGCATCACTTATCTACTTGGTCTGGTATCCTATATGCCTAGAGCAACGCTTACATACAAAGGATGGAGAATTACCCGAGCTAAGGAAAGGGAGAGACTGTCACTCTTCTCTGGAGCATCTGAATTCTCTCTAGATGTGTTGAATACAAATTTGATGGCATTTGTGGAATGATACATTTCAGTGCCAAATGCAAATGGGATACAGATGCATCTTTTAATTCATAACAATAGGAATGTGATTCCTGTTTCTTTTAGCAACTTTCAGGAAATTTTAAACAAAGTTCAGTTCTTTTTTTTATCCTTGAACTGCAGAGAAGGCATTCGTTTTATTTGCTTTCTATTAGAGGAATCTTTTGGCCCTTCTTGTGGTCATGAGGATGTTCAACTATGATAAAGAACAAATGTTTTAGATGTGTTAGGAATGAGTTCATTGTAAATTTGTATTTCTTTTTTTTTTTTTAATTTTTTTTAATATTTATTTATTTTTGAGACAGAGAGAGACAGAGCATGAACAGGGGAGGGTCAGAGAGAGAGGGAGACACAGAATCTGAAACAGGCTCCAGGCTCTGAGCAGTCAGCACAGAGCCCGATGCGAGGCTCGAACTCACGGACTGTGAGATCATGACCTGAGCCGAAGTCGGCCTCTTAACCGACTGAGCCACCCAGGCGCCCCATAAATTTGTATTTCATAAATTTCGGTGAGAGATTCATGGAGGAGTATATGACCCTCAGAAATCATTTGTTCCAATTTCATGTCCTCAGTCTGGATTGTAATCCAGTAATCTAGTGTATCTTATACTCTGTTCTGATTTTTGATGTTGAAACGTCATATGCATTCTGGTTTTTAACCTGCATATACCTTATTTGTCATGATAGTTAGATGTAATTATATTATTTTGCCAGACAAAGATTGTCCAGGGAAGAAATTAGAGGTTGTGGCAAATACTTGGTTTGTTCAAATTGAGCGTATATCTAAAAAGATCTGGTTTACCTTCAAGGGATGTATGCATTTAAGCCACAGCATCCATTTTGTACAGGTATTTGGATACATTTTTTTCTAAAGAAGAAAAAAATACCCCAGACTGTTGGTTTAATTGAAATATATTAGAGTTTACCCGATATTTTGTAATTGTGTAATATTAATTTCCCTAATTAGCAATACTTCATATGCCTTAAAAACCACTTACGTGTCCTTGAACCACTTAACCATCAGATGTTTTAGCCTGCCTTCTTGCTCTTCCTGCTGTCATTTACTGTTGATTTCTAGAGACTTAAAGCTATAGTAGTAGGCTAAAAACTGAGCATGGCTATTGTGATAAGGTGTGGGTTCTCAGAAAGCAGCTATTTGTTGGGCAGTCAGGAGCCAGCACCGATCGGCATCTTCACAGTTCAGCTATAGGCATTGTCAACTCATTGCATTGGTGGTTTATGGATAGGACTAAATGGTGGTGTGGTTGAAAGGGTAGGAGGTGTTCACTCTAACACTGACATGTCCACATCTGTCTTCAGATTTGACTTGAAGACATTGCCTGTAGACTTTGTAGAATGTTTGATGAGGTTCTTGCCAACTGAGAATGAGGTGAAAGTGTTCCGGCTCTATGAGCGGGAAAGGAAGCCCCTGGAGAACTTGTCAGATGAAGACCGGTTCATGATGCAGTTCAGTAAAATTGAGAGACTCATGCAGAAGATGACCATCATGGCCTTCATTGGGAACTTTGCGGAAAGCATTCAGATGCTGACTCCTGTGAGTGGACCAACTCTGGCAGGGGAGAGGGTCCAGAGAGATATAGAATCATTTTTTTCTTTTAAGTCTCTTCCAGAATTTGCACATAGCGTCATGGGCTCTAAAGACTCCTTCCCAGAACTTTCTAGATTGCACTTTTATTTTGGCAATTTTTTTTTCACATTGTTTATGCCAAGTAATGTGAAAATAGTGGATTTCCATATTCCGTATTGCTATTCTCCTCCATAGAATGCCATTTTCTCTGTCTATGGATGTCCTCTGGGTTTCCACCTCAGTACATAGCTTTAATTGGAAGCATTGTAAATTTACCACAGGAGTCTTTTTCCTTGGAGATTTGTTATAGTACACTGTGGTGATGCAGAAATAAGAGCCAACCATCTCTTGTCCCTTTGTGTTAATCTGGTAGAGACTTATTAATATTATAAACATAAATATCATAAATAGTTCTTTCCCAGTTCTGTTTCTAAATAAACTTGTTAATTACCGACTATAGTAGCATGTCTGTTCAACACATGTTCTGAGAACTTCTGGAGGTTGATTATATTCCTTTGGTGTTTTGTTTTCATTCTTGGACAGCTCCATTCATTTAAAAACATATTGTCTTACATGATGTGAGGAGGTGGGCAGGGAATTGAGTTCTACTAGAAGATGCTGTGGATTCTGTGCTCTGAGTCCCATTGGTTACAGATTTGTGATAAGTTCTGACATTTCTTCTTATTTCATATACTTAGAGCTTGCATGTAATGATATGGTTACCTAAGACCTAGCAGGACAAGTTAAATTTGTTATGTTGAAGAAAAATAGAATCTCAGCATATTTAAGGTCTAAATGCAGGTCTGTTTTCTTCTGTGTTAAATTTTTAGTTTCCAATTAGAGTTTCTTATTTTTAACATGTCTCTTTTTTTCACCCCCTTCCTTCCTTTGAATGGAATCTAGCAACTGCACTCAATTATAGCAGCATCTGTCTCTATAAAATCATCCCAAAAACTCAAGAAAATTCTGGAGGCAAGTAAAGTTTTCCTTGTATACACGTAGGGAAGAGCTGACTCCAGCCACATTCATTGGCCTGGGAATACCTGGGATGCTTTTCTGATGGGCTTCTCTTTTCTCTCTCTCTCTCTCTCTCTCTCTCTTTTTTCTTTTGCAGATTATCTTGGCCCTTGGAAACTATATGAATAGCAGTAAGCGAGGAGCAGTTTATGGATTTAAACTTCAGAGTTTAGATCTGGTGAGTGGACTGAAAGAACTATAAGAGCTATATAAGGGACAAAACAACCGGCAGAGATTAAGTCCCAGAGTGGAGTCTGCTCTTGGAAGTGGGGTAGGATGTTTTGATGAAGATTGCTATAAGTGGAGGATGAATGGGTACACATTTTCTGGCACGTCACTGGGTAGCAGGCGCTTAGAACTTTAAAAATACTCAAGCCCTATGACCCAGTGTTTCCATTTCTGGGACTCTTTCCTCAAGAATCTGAATTATGGATGCTATATTTAGTTTATAATTGCAAATAATTAGCAACAATGTAAAGATCCATCATTTTGGAAAATTATTAAATATAACAGTAGTTAATATGATGAACTCTTCTTTAACTCTTAGAATGTTTGTGAAGAATTTTCAAAGAAATAATTTTGTGGGGCACCTGGGTGACTCGGTTAAGTGTCTGACTTCAGCCCAGGTCTTGATCTCGAGGCTTGTGAGTTCGAGCCCTGTGTCTGGCTTTGTGCTGACAGCTCAGAGTCTGGAGCCTGCTTCAGATTCTGGGTCTTCCTCTCTCTCTCCGCCCCTCCCCAACTTGTGTTCTCTCTATCTCTCTGTCTGTCTGTCTCTCTCTCTCAAAAATCAATAGGGGTGCCTGGGTGGCTTAGTTGGTTAAACATCCAACTTTCACTCAGGTCATGATCTCATGGTCTGTGAGTTCACGCCCCATGTCAGCCTCTGTGCTGACAGCTCAGAGCCTGGAGCCTGCTTCACATTCTGTGTGTGTCTCTCTCTCTTTCTGCCCTTCCCCCATTGGTGTGCGCTCTCTCTCTCTCTCTCTCTCTCTCTCTCTCTCTCTCAAAAATGAAAATAAACATAAAAAAGTAAACATTAAAAATTGTTTGGGGCGCCTGGGTGGCGCAGTCGGTTAAGCGTCCGACTTCAGCCAGGTCACGATCTTGCGGTCCGTGAGTTCGAGCCCCGCGTCAGGCTCTGGGCTGATGGCTCAGAGCCTGGAGCCTGTTTCCGATTCTCTGTCTCCCTCTCTCTCTGACCCTCCCCCGTTCATGCTCTGTCTCTCCCTGTCCCAAAAATAAAAATAAAAAAAAAATAAAAAAAAATTGTTTTAAAAAAATGTGTCTAGAAAAGAAAGGAGGGTATAAATTTCATGTACAGTTTGATTTCACCCACGCAAAAAATGCAGGAAAAAAACTGAATGGAAGTAGGTAAAGATATCAACAGAGAGGTTGGATAGAATTAGGGTTTTTGTTTCAAAGTGCTTCTTTTTACTTTTCTGTGTTTTCTAAATAAAAAAAGAAGCCGGGGGTGGGGGGTGCTTCTGGGTGTCTCAGTCAGTTGAGCATCCAACTTCCATTCAGGTCATGATCTCGTGGTTCATGGGTTCGAGCCCTGCGTCGGGCTGACAGCTTGGCGCTTGGAGCCCTGCTTCAGATTCTGTGTCTCTTTGCCCCTCCCTCACTCATGCTTTGTCTCTCTCTCTCTCTTTCTCAAAAATAAATAAACATTAAAAAAAAATTCCCCTCTGGATGGAAAAGAGTATGCTGTTTTTCAGAGTTATCTAACTTATGTGGGCAGTGATAACCTTCTCCCCCACGGCTGGGGCTAATGTGGCTTCCACATGAGAAGGTTGAGCTCTGCTCAGGCAGAGTCCTGAGCCCTGGGGAGACATGGCTGTTTGGTAGCGAGTGTCTAGTTGGTCCCACTCCTGGCCCCAAGACGGTCATATGTGGCCAGCCCAGCTGTTTTGGGTCACGGAGGCTGGGGAATGAGAGAGCTGAACTGAAAACGGGTAGACTGCATTGTGGGAGTCCTGCCACGTAGGGAGTACCCGTGTACCACCAGCGCCACACTCACTTCTCTGCTCCTTCTCTTTGGAAAGCACTCGGAATGGGGGCTTCCCACTTTTAAGTCAGGGAAAGTCGTATGGCAGATGTGGGGTGGGACAGTTTTGTGTGGGTAGAGATGTGTGAACAGTTTTTGGTGTTGGAGTCCTGCTGGCGTTGAGCATACCCCCTGGCGGAGAAGTCCTGCGGTCACTTACAAGTCAGTTGGTTTAGGGGAGAACACGTCCAGGTTTGACCCTCCTGTGGTCCACTTTGGGGTACCGTCTTCCATTACTCTGAGTGGGAGGACTTCACCTGATGGACAAGTTTCTCATCCTCTTCTACCCTAACCCCTGTTCCTTTTGTTTTCAGCTCTTAGATACAAAGTCAACCGACCGAAAGCAAACACTGTTGCACTATATTTCAAATGTTGTAAAAGAAAAATATCACCAAGTGTCCCTGTTTTATAATGAGCTTCATTATGTGGAGAAAGCTGCTGCAGGTACTTGATTTCAGCTATTCATGTTACTCTTGGGTATCGAATGCCTTTAATCATGGATCATGGGGGAACCATTCCCTGCTAAACCACTCTTCGGAACTCCTCTGGAAAGGCAAGGTGATGAAAACATCCGAAGCTCTTTGCTGGGGTACCTGGGCCAGGGTGTTTCCCGCTCCTGGGAGCCATAATGAACAGGGACATAAGGGAGACCCTTCTGTGTCCTGTCTAAAGAGTCCGGTCTCTAGACCCTGGGCAGCTTCTGTCTTCCATTTGTTGTCCTTCTTAGTCTCTTGCCGTCACTTGAAATATGAGAATGAAAATCAAGAAATCACCCCCCGCCTCTGCCAGTTTGATTTTGCGCTGTCCCAGTTGCTCAGGTGTGGTAGCTCAAGCATTGTGCCGTTAGCCTGAGTGGGAGCTAAATTATCAGTACTTTTGGCTGTTATTTTTGCTACGGCAGTTTATGCATTTTTCTCATTTAAATCATCAGTGATTCTGAGCCAGCCAGGCTATGATAGGTATGTAATGGTATCCCCATGTATACATGAGAAAACTGACATTTTTAGAGGTTAACAACTGTCTTGCCCAAGGTCACCGGGGTAGAACATGAGCGAGACAGGACTAGAACCTGTGTCTTATATAGTGTACTGTCTAACGTGCAATGTCTTCTCCAAAGGCTGTTATGCTAGAAAAAGGAACAAGATGCAGATTAACCTCAGTGTTGGTTACATACTCTGATTCTCATTTTAGGATCTTGAACCCTGAGCAGCCAAGGAGTTTTTTATAAATTCATATTCCTGAGGTCTGCTTCAGACTTGGTGAATCGAATCTTTAAGGGCAAGATTTTTTTTGACTTCCTCAAAGTAAAATGGCTGCTCCTTTTGTGTTCTTACAATAGAGCATTCCATACTATTTCATACACGATGGGTCAGATTTTACTATGACAATTTACATGTCTGTTTCAACCTGTGGACTTATGGGTAATATCTTTATTTTTATGTATCTTTGTAATTCCCTTAGCCGCTAGCACATTGATGGGGGGAGTAAGTAAATGAGCGAACGAATGAATGAGATGATGTACTGTTAGCTGGGGTAGGTACCGAGGACGCCCTAGTGGAGACTGAGAGGCAGGTGGGAATGGTCCTTTGTGAAGGGCTGTGCAGTGTGGGCCATAGCAGACCCACTGAGGGCACAGGGCTCACTGACACAGTTACTGGGACTTCTGGTGGAGTGATTTTCCTTTTTTCAGGTTTCTCCGCCTAAATTAGGGATTGTTTAGCATCACATTTGTAACAAAAACGTTTTATAAAAATTTTTGTTTTGGCCGATTTGTTTGGCTCAAGTGAGAGTCCCCAAAAGTGTCATTTGAAAAAAGTCAGAAAGTGGAGAGATTGAGAATCTCTGGCTGGATTGTTTTCTGTGTCCTCTCTCTGGTGGCCAGGTGAGCTGACAGAGATTCTTTATACCTTTGCTCCTTTGCTTATCCAGTGAACCTTTGAGTCCCTGCTGTGGACGTGGCCCTGTCCTAAGCATTGAGGAGTCAAAGTTGAATAAGACCGTGTGAATCTAGCAAGGGAAAAACATAACTGGCCTGTTCTGTAATTCATCCATGTGCAGAGCGGAATCGGGCAGTAGGGAGCCAGAGGTGGGGCCTGGTCTTCTGCAGGAGGCTGCAGGAAGGTACCTGCTCTGGGAGCGTGGCCACACTGCAGATGGAAGAAAGGTTCATTACATTAACATGAACCCTTCAGGAACAGAGTAGGGTTGATGGACCAGAAGAAGCTGTCCAAGGTTGCTTGGTTTCTAGGGATCAGTCACAACTAAAGTTCAGCATTTAAATGCTACCCCCTGCTGGAGAGCCACAGAAATGTAAAAGAGGTCCAAATCTTGGGCCTGGCACAGTTACGGAACCTCTGAGTCTACAGACCAACCAACAGCTTATCATCACCTATAAGAGAAATGGAATAGTTGGGTATAATCCCAGGATTTGGGGTCCATGGTTATCTGAGCCCCACCTCTGCCACCTCCTAGCTGCACAGTCTAGGGCCACATAACCTATTTATGCTGCCTTTTTTGTTGCTGGCAAATTGGGCTAATAGTGCAAATGAATTAGTGCATATATAGAAATTAATGCAGTGCCCGGAAGTGAGCACTAGTAAATTATTCATATTGTAAGATCTCTGCTCTGAAAGCTGGAAATCAGAGCTATGGCCCTTGAGTAACCCTAGGAATCCACTGAAAACTGGGCTTACCAGCCACACACACTGTGGTTTTGACATTCATGGGGACACTGCTGTCTCTGCTTCAGTCTCCCTCGAGAATGTTTTGCTGGACGTCAAAGAGCTCCAGAGAGGCATGGACTTAACCAAGAGGGAGTACACCATGCACGACCACAACACGCTGCTGAAGGAGTTCATCCTCAACAATGAGGGGAAGCTGAAGAAGCTGCAGGATGATGCCAAGATTGCACAGGTAAGTACTTGTTCCCTGGACACTCATGAGGAAGTGACTGGGTCCCTTAAGCCCACCTGGGTGCCAGTCTTGGCTTTGGGGGAAGATTGCCCTCTGTCTACCGAGGGTAGATTTTCTTATGGAACCGATGACTATTGGACCTGGAAGTGCCCTGTTCTGCTCATTGTCCTCTTCTAATTTGTAGTCTTCACCTCTTCTCTAGAGGCCCATCCCTCTCCCCTTACCCTCCCCTGCCACTCCGAGGCTCCCTCTGTGTGAGTCCTGTATTCATTTTAGCCAACATGTGTCATTCCTGTGCTTAGCAAAACCCTGTTCCTGCCCAGGGTGTTGGGTTTCTGTAGGCCTTGACCTTGAAATCTTATACTACACTGGGGGTTAAGTGTATACATTTGAAAAACAGCCAAAACGGACTGTGCATGCCATCATAGGAGGGAAGGCGGAGCTTTGTGGGAACTCAGAAAGCAGACGTGGTGCAATGGCTCCCAAACGAGGCTGTCTTGTGCCGGGAAACAGTTTAAGTGGAGACTGGAGCGTCCCTAAGGTGGGAACACCATAAGGAGCATTGAAGCCGCGAGGTGGGATTGGAGTCTGAGTGACTTCTAAGATCCCTTCTAAACCATTGGCCTTAGGAAGCTCTCAAAAGGGGTAGCTTCTTGTTTGTATGAAGTGCAGGGGATCCCAGAGATGAATTCCTGTGTGGCACTATCACCTTCTTCTGGTCACCTTTGCCTGGGCTTTCGGAGGAAACAGGAGTCCCTAGAGAGTCGTGGGGAAATGAGAGGGACAGATGAGCTGTGGTGGCGGCTGGATCCTCCCTGCTGCTTTGCTGCTGCTCTTCCCCCACAGAGTCAAGTTCAGATGCTCGACTTTACGAAACTCCAGAGAAGTTTGTTTCTTTACAGGATGCTTTTGATGATGTGGTGAAGTATTTTGGAGAAAACCCCAAGACGACGCCACCCTCTGTCTTCTTTCCCGTCTTTGTCCGGTTTGTGAAAGCCTATAAGGTAAATAGGAGCATGGGGTCCTTTAAAGTCTTCCTTGGCATTATTTCTCAAATGGGTGTCCCCCCAGAGCTGTGCCGGAGTCTCTGCGGCTGTGCAGAGGCCTTCCCTGTCCTTTAGGCAGCTGACCTGGGAGGTCAGCGTGAGGCCGCGGTCTCCAGTTCTGTGGAGGTCCTCACCCGTGAGGCTTCCTTTCTCTACCCAGCCAGGACTGGGGCTCAGCCTGAAGGCAAAAGCTCTTGGCTGCCCTTTGGGGCAAGTGAGACACTCCAGGACCATCACTTCCTTCCTGACCGTTCCCTCCTGTGTGCAGAGTGAAGGACTTAGAAACTCCAGGCCTCCCGTGCAGTTGTGGGACAAGTCAAGGGAGCGGACTCAGGCCTCCGGCAAGGGCTCTGTAGCTGAGGTCAGAGACAGCCTGCTTGGGTGTGTCCTGCCCAGGCCTTTAGGTCATCCAGACCTTTCTCTAGTGTGGACTGAAAGATGGCACTAGGAAGGATAGTTACTGTCTGTTTCCCCATCTGGACCAATAATAGCCCTTCCTTTATTTTTTTTTTTTTTTAAAGTTTGTTTCTTTTGAGAGAGAGAGCATGAGGGGGTATGGGTTAGGGGCAGAGAGCGAGGGGGGGAGAGAGAGAGAGAATCCCAAGCAGGCTCCACACTATCAGCGCAGAGCCTGATGCAGGGCTCAAACTCACAAACTGTGAAATCATGACCTGAGCCAAAATCAAGAATCGGATGCTTAACTGACTGAGCTACCCAGGCGCTCAGTGGCCCTTCCTTTATTTATTTTTCAACATTTATTTATTTTTGGGACAGAGAGAGACAGAGCATGAACGGGGGAGGGGCAGAGAAAGAGGGAGACACAGAATCGGAAACAGGCTCCAGGCTCCGAGCCATCAGCCCAGAGCCTGACGCGGGGCTCAAACTCACGGACTGCGAGATCGTGACCTGGCCGAAGTCGGACGCTCAACCGACTGCGCCACCCAGGCGCCCCATGGCCCTTCCTTTAAATAGGATATTTGACCCAATCCAGGGCTATGGTTTTGAAAAATCATGTGAACCAAAGAGGTATGTGTTGGAAGAATTTGTTCCTGAGAAAGAAGGACCGGGAGGTGGGGTGGCGGGGAGGCGGTGTTGAGGCGGGGCGTTAAGGGATGTTCTTATACTTAGGAGATATTGCAGACATTACACTCCAGGGTTGTCTACCCTATAACCTTGGTGGAAGAAGGAAGAGTGTGATCGGAGGAGGAGGAAGAAGGTGGCAGGGTCATCGTTTTTGAGAAACATCCTGTCGGATATAGTGGGTCACTTCTCTAGCTCCAGAACTATCCTTTGGCCTTTTACTGAAATTCGGAAGGTTACGTTATTTAGCCATCTTCTCTCAGCATGGCTTTGTGTAGCCGTGATAATCACAGGCTGTTGGCAAAAGGAAAAGTGGGGATGAACCCAAACACGGCAAAAAATCACTGGGAGCTGTGAGAGATGAGAATGTCACCGGTCACCAGCTGCTGCTGACTGTGGTACCCTGGGTTCACTGGGCTGGTGATGCTAGTGTGCTGCAGAGATCACTCAAAGTGATTCTTGTGATGTGCTGGGACCACATTTAAGGGAGGCTGGCTTCAAAAGAGAGAATGCCCAAGAGGGCTGAGCTGAGCTGAGCCTGTTTGATTCCATGTCCCAAATTTATCAGACTAGTCACTCTGCCGCCCTTGGGGAGGAGTGAGCTGTGGGGAGAGACCTGAGAGTGTCACTCAGGTGAGACCCTTGAAGGAAATAAGAGGCGAATGAATGGAGATTTCCCCCTAACCGCGGGCACAAGGAGAGGAATCTGAACTCCTGCTTTCAGAGAAACTGTAGGTAGGTGGACAGATTCTGGAAGCAAAATAAACTTATGTGACAATCACGGAGCAGAGCTGCCAGAAGTCCCACATCTGTGGGACTGAGACTGAGGAGCATTGTGAGTGGAGAAGGGGGTCATCAGGAAGGGATTTCTGGACCAGAATTGGAATTGCTAGGAGATGTCCTATAGACCAACAGTGAAAGCCCGGATCAGAGCCCTGCATAGACTTAAGTGGTAGATCTTGTAAGCTTTCTGTTCACTCTGATTCCTGGCTCATCAAGATTGTCTAAGAGTGACTTTAAAAGAATCTTGATTGCCATCATTCCCACTGATGTAATCTTTGGGTTCTTTTGATTTGACCCAGCAAGCCGAAGAGGAAAATGAGCTGAGGAAAAAGCAGGAACAAGCACTCATGGAAAAACTCCTGGAGCAAGAAGCCCTGATGGAGCAGCAGGACCCAAAGGTGAGAAGTGCCTGACCCCTGAGACTGTCCTCCTGGGAGGGGAGGCCCTTGTGGTTCCTCGAAGCCAGCAGGAAAGAGGGGCAAAAAGCCGGATTTGCACAGGAGCCTTACAGCTTCCTTCTAGGGCTTGCAGACGTGGCACATGGATTTGTTACTCACTACTTTGTTCAGCATACAGTGGAATGAGGTGAAGAGCATGTTTGTGTAGCATTTCCAAGTTTACGGAGATCAGGCACTTAAATCTCAGGTGGATATACAGTGAGGTCACACCAGATAACCTGATGAGTAACTGCTTAGTGTCCAGGGAAGGCTTCATGGGGTTGCCGTTGGTGCTGACCATGAGAGCTGGAGGGCTTCGCTACAAGTCATGGGGAGGAGCATTCCCTGGAGGGAAGCAGCCTAGGTAAAGACCACAAAGGCTGGCAAATCAGAGTGTTCTTCATCATGGTCCTCTGCACCAAAGTTTAAGAAGTCCATGGTTAATACCAGCTGTTTCTTGTGGCTGCAGGATCCAGCCTTCCCACTGCTGCCAGCTGGAGTTTTGTGTGTGCTTCAGAGAAAGTTTGTTTTCGTCCCAGAAGCTTTCTGAGTTTTTCTGTGGGCAGAATGTTGGAATGGTGCCATTTGTGTTTTTGTCTGAGGCTGCTTATTCAATGATCACGCACATTTGGATCAGTGGTGCTGGTCCCACTAATCTCTGCCATTTTTTTTTCTGCTCAGTCTCCTTCCCACAAATCAAAGAGGCAGCAGCAAGAATTAATTGCAGAATTAAGAAGGCGACAAGTTAAAGATAACAGACATGTATATGAAGGGAAAGATGGCGCCATTGAAGACATTATCACAGGTAAAAGATATTTTCTCGTTGTGGCCCATAGAGACCCCACTGATCTTACCCCTAGTGAGCTACTCGCCCATTGTGCTGCTGCTTTTATCCAGGGTTTACAAGTTCTTCAGGTGACTTTATTCAGGTCAAGAATAAAGGGGAACTCCATGCTAGTGTTAGAAGCATATTTATAGTGGCTGTATACTGCCTGTCAAGGAGACCCAGCACTCTCTGAAAAATCTGTTTCTCATTATCATTGGAATGTTGCAGATTTCACCAGGCCCCGCCTTCTGATGGTTTTCCATTGTCTTTGATTTGTTAGTCTGCTCCATTTTCTATGTGGCCACTCCTACCCAAGTGCCTGGTTAAAATAAATACTATGGATAAAGCCCATGCAGGGTTGTGTACTAACCGGAGTCAATGCACATTGTTCCAGCATGCTCTTTACGAGCTTTTTTACTCCTTCAACGTAACTGAGGACAGTAGGAAATAAGGAGCCGGTGCTTTCATTCTAATGGGCCAGCAGGCTGCTAGCCCACGGTTTTCAGTGAGTAGTGCCTAACCCAGCCTGGTCCTTGTCTGATTAGGTTGTAGCCTAATGCTTGCTGCTTGAATCCGTTCTGTAGAGATACTGCATTCTCTTACAGATGGGGAAAGTAATTTGAGCCACTACCTTATGACTGTGGCTACTAGTGACTTTCCTTTCTTGTCTGTTGCATATGAGTACTGTTTATTAGCTTCCAAGAGACTTCAAACTTTTTTTTTGCTGTAGGAAATTTAGAAAATATGCCATGCAAAACTGTAGAGAATAGTATGATGAGTTCCCATATGCTCGTCACCTGTTAATAATTTTCAACTCATGGCCAGTCTTGTTACTTGTCTGCTTCTGCCTGCTCCCCATTTACCAACCTGTAGGATTATTTTGAAGCAAATCTAAGACATACAGTTTCATCTGGTTATATTTCTGTTGGCGTCTTCAAAAGATAAGGACTATTTAATAAAGCAAACAAATACAGCCATAGTACCATTATCACACACCTCCAAAACTAACAACTTTTTAATATCAAATGTGCAGTCATTAGTCACATTTCCTCCATTGTCCTAATTTTTAAGAAATGTAACTTTCAGATTTTTGACTTCTCATTTTTTGTTAATAGCTCAGTCAGCATCGTAAATAGGGATCGATCCCAAACCACCAAAATCACAATTTTTTTTCCCACAAGCTCAAACCGAAGGAAATAAAATAGGTAAATAAATCACTAACAGGAAGTCAATAAAGAGTGTCTGGCCAAGAGTAAAGCCGTCTCAGTCATCAGTGGATAGGTAAGTGGCCGGTGAAGTGCCTCAGTATGGCGCACACGTAATCTGGACACGCATGTCTGCCAGTGTCTCATTGTTCACTCTGCAGTGACTTGCAGATGGCCCCTAGGGAAAGTCCCCATTGTTTAGCCCCCCCTGTTGTTTCCCCCACACTGAGGGAGAAGCTCTGCTCTGAGCAAGACCAGGAACAGATCTTTTTGGGTAAGCACCTGCTAGCCTCTGTGCCGTAATAAGATTAACTGCAGGGAGACGAGCATCGAGCCTCGCATATTAAGAACTTAGAGTTCCTTTTCCATCAGTCTGTTCTCCATGTCAGTGACACCTGGCTTGTAAACTGAGTGAAATGTCCAGTTTCTGTTTGCCTGACCTAATCGTTCAGCCACCATTGGAGGTGAATGAGTATCGGCTTACAGAGCAGGTTTTATTCTCATTAAAATACTTTCCACCCACCAAGCCCCAGACTGACTAACTCTTTTAGACTTTATGAACTCACTTGGGTATATATTGCCTTTCCCTCCTTCCCTGGCCACCTCCCCCCTTCCCCCCTCGCCTTCCCCAGGTATGATTAACAAAGCACTAACCATGTACTAATATGATAGATCTTGGCTCTTACTCTCTGCTGTTTGTCTTATTTGGCTATCATTTTCAATGCAGTGCTGAAGACTGTGCCCTTTACTGCTCGCACCGCCAAGCGTGGCTCTCGATTTTTCTGCGAACCTGTTCTCACTGAGGAATACCATTACTAAACTATTACTCTTTCTCACCTGATGCTCTTAAAAGGTTGCTACAGATTTTTTGACCTCTTATGCCCCTCTGTCTGTCTGTTAGGGCCACCCAATATGCTAGCATGGAATTGCTGTCTCCACCATGTTATATTTTATGTTGCCTTCACACTGCATGGTTTTGCATTTCAGTCATTACTGCTTACTCACTGCCACTTTCAGTATGTCTAGGAATCCACACGGCTATGGTGGTCTGAGTCTGAGGGATTTGGATTAATAGAATTGCTTGCAGAAATTTTTAGAAAAACACTATAAATAGAGCAGTACTTTGAGAATTAGTATTCGGACCAAGTAGGCTGTTACAAGTCTTTTGGGCTAGTGTCTCTGAACACAAAATGATAGTCATTAATAACAGTAACTACCATACCTAACATTTATTGAGCACTTGGTATTTTGTCATGAATGTACAGATATTAAACCAGCCTCTTTTCTGTACTCACTTAACATGCTTTGATGAAATGAGCTGTGTGCAAGTGCTCAGGAATGCAGAGTGCTCTAAAGTTGAAAAATGATTTGCAGAAAAAAGTGTGAACTACACACAGTTGTAAATTGGGTCTTTCTTAACTCTCTTATACCATCTGTAGCCATCACCCACAGCATGATGGAGCTCATGGTATAAGCAAGTAGCCCTTTGGACCTAGAAATCTGTATAAGTTGATATAGGCAATCCATAGCTGTATATTCCACGTCTTCTCCTGAGTGTCATGCCCACATTCAGATATCACGTTGGAACAAGGCTGTGAGGCAGAAAGTGAAAACAAAGGCTTTAGGAGCTCTCCACAGTCTTTCCTCATTTGTGCTTCTTCACTGTCGCTCGGTTCCGTGTCAAATCCAGGGCATTTCTCTTGTGATGAGATCATATCTGGACCTGCATCTTTGGTCAGGATGGTGGCAACTAGAAACACTAATAGCAAAAACCTATTCTTGGAGAATGCCACTGTTCTTGGAATCAAAACAAAACAAAACCCCAGATTTTCAAGAAGTAACAGCCTGCCCTCGGTTCCTGATGGCTAGATAAGAGACAAACTTCTCTGCAGGGCCCAGTTGATTAGAAAATGGATAAGAGAAGCACATATTCTAATTGGAAATGACCATTAGCTTCCTGTGCTGAGATTGACATGGAACGGGGTACCTGTTTTGATTGTGGCATTAGCTTGTCTGTGAATTGCGCTTGTTATGTATGTGCCTCTGTCACTGAGGATCTCAAAGGATGTGGTGTGTGGTTGCCCACCCTGCAGTGTACTTACCCACCAGTGCTTATTAACAAGGCTAGACACTGTCATCTACTCAGCTAATGTTCCTGTCAGCTTTGCTGCTGGACTATCATTCTGGAGCCATATTTCAAAGCAGCTTGGATTTGGGTGGTCAGAGGGGATGGGTGGGAAGATCCTCTCCACTTTCCCTTGTTTTATCTAACACCTCTTGTATTAATGGCCTCCCACTCTCTTCCTCTGTCGGCTAACATGCCGGGTATGTTAAGCACTAGGTTGAATTGCTTTCCGTTTTCATCCCATTTTTACTTAACCATCATTTTGTGTTTTTGTTTTTTTTTCTGTTTAGCCTTAAAGAAGAATAATATCACTAAATTTCCAAATGTTCACTCGAGGGTAAGGATTTCTTCTAGCACACCGGTGGTGGAGGATACACAGAGCTGGCAAGCATCACTTTTTACTTAGCTTCCTCCTCTCTCTGTATGCAGATCAGTGGTTTCAGTCTATGGCTGAGGGTGATACTGGTGAGAGTCTGACCAGGGAGAAGTCTTTGTAACCTCGCATTTCAGTGATGTGAGGCAGAGCCTCTCTGTTGGACTCTTTCTGGCCTGCTTCCATGTTGTTAAGTGTGATGGCTTGGGCAAGGGTATTTGCTGATGATTGTACCTGCTTTGGGTGCTAGGCTGTCCTTCTCCGACCCTTTTCTTGGCCTTCGAGTTAAGCAGTTAACCTCTTTTGATCTGAAGAAGTTGAGAGCACTTCCTGGCCGGGGAACATGATCTTTATGGCCTTTGAAGATGATGATCTTTAGAGCCAGTTGTTGAGAAGACTCAGGCATCACAGAGCTACAAGTCACTTAGCCAGAAGTGGAATTCTGAACTTCCCTTACCACTCTGGGCCAAGAAGCAGAAGCTTGAGTGGATTAAGGCATACAAAACTATTCTTCCCTTGAATTTAGAAGGGCAGGGTACCAAATTCCAAGGAGTCAGGAGCTTAGGTCTCAGCACTGACTCAGCTCCAGTCTGTTTTTGCCATGTGAAAATTTGGGCTCAGTGTTGCCAGGCCCTCCAGTTTTCCAAGGGAAATCAGAAACCTTGTTTTTTATATTAATTATTTAAAGATCAGGAAACTGTATTTAAAAATACAAGTTGGAGGCCAAACATTCTGTAGGCCAGATATGGCCCACTGGCTCCATTTTCAAGCTACTTAGTGGGTAAAAGGATAAACAAAGATTTGAGCTGCTTTAATTCTGTTGTTTATGTTTCCCCTTCAAGATATAGAATGTTTCCTAACAGAAGTCAATAATATTAAGTTAATGAAAGGGAAATATATACTAATTAAATGAAACAGTGGGAAAAAGTACAAAGCCTGCCCTGCCCTATCAAAAGCAGCTTACCTGCGTGCTAGGCAAAGCATGTTTTCATATTAAAGAATACTTACATAGAATAAAATCCCTTGTTCATGCCACTTTATCCCATTAGAACAATGGCTTCTTGAGCCAATATGCAGTGATTGGTTCACTTATTCAACAAAGCTTTGTTGTTGTTGTTGTTGTTTTAATGTTAGGCATTTTAAACATTCTCTTTAAACATTTTAAACAAACTGGAAAATTGAGGAGGGCCTGTTCAACTTCTTCCCTCCAATGAAAAACAGGAACTACCTATGGCAGGACAGAACATACAGAAATAGAGAATTATTTTGATTTAGTGATTTATCTTTCTTTAGTGGTTAATTGGGCATTATGTGTCTAATTCACGAAATAAAAAATGGACTCCAGCTAATATTGAATAAAAATTATGGAACCTCTGCAAAATAAGCATAGTGTCCTTCCTGGATTAAAATTTCAGGTAAGATAGGACAGGGCTTATTAGTTTTGCAGTTTAAGATTCATTTTAATTATTGTTGATACTCAGTTTCCAGAAAAAACAAAAACAAAAACAAAGAAAACTAAGCCACAGCTTTTTCCAATTGAAGAAACACTTCAAAATAAGACTCCAGCTAGACTCTCTGGCCAGTGACAGGAGCAGTTGCCTCTCTTCTGTATTTTTCTAAAAGTTCCAGAATCACACCAGTATTACATCCTGCTTTGTTTAAATATTGAGGGCAAAGTACATGTCCTTGGCTCAAATACTCAATGAATTTTGAAGGGCCTGTTAGCTGACTCTTCTACACAAGCTGCTTTGATTGGCTGCCAGCTGACTTTTGTCTTGCTTAGACACATGATACTAAAGGTTGCAGTTCTCTTATTGGTAATCTTCTCTTTACAGATCTTAGAAACCAACCATACAGACGAGCCGATGCGGTGAGGAGAAGTGTCAGGCGGCGCTTTGATGATCAGAACTTGCGTTCTGTTAATGGTGCCGAAATAACCATGTGAACCTGAGACCTGCCTGTATGAGTAGAGAGTGCGTGAATGAAACTCTCCACATGAACTTTATGCGCTACCCTTTAACTGCAACCTTGAACATTGATAAAATATTCTAAGGGCTCAGATTTAGCAAACACATAGGAATTTAAAAATGACGGGCTCTCCTTTCAACCTTTGTTAACAAGTGCCTAAAAGTGGAAGTACCTGCTCAGATTAATCAAAGCAATAGGGTTTGATTTGATTAGGTATCTTTTTACACCAGTATATTATCCAATTTTTTAACCAAAATGTAAATTTCGTATTACATTCATTATCTGCCATTGTGATTGTCCCATGATGGCACACCCTGGTTTCCTGATAAGTTGTAAATAACGTGGATGTAATCTGCTCTGGGTTTCCTTTGCTGAGATGTCTTAAGGAATTTTGTGTTTTAGCCATACCCATCAACTTTGTATTTTAAAGGGCTTGCAACATGGAAGAAGGAAAAGGTCACATGACAGACTGCTGTCCATAAGCAAGCCCCAGCGAAGTACAAACAGGATGTATTGCAGTGGCACAGGATAAGTCCCTCAACTCTTATCTCGTTACACATTCTACTTCTGTGCTAGGGTTATGATGCCCTGTGAGAAAAGTTCACCGGTATGAATGCAAGGATATAGTGGCATACAGATTTGTGTAAGATTTATTTGCAGTACTGTGTTCTTCAGCTAGAGGCAGCTTTTAAAAAAAATAATGCAAATGTATTTATTAATTAGCACTAAAATTAACATCTCAGTAATCAGTATTAGGATTTCTGAGGACTATTATGGGCCAATCCTGAGAATAGAAATTGGTGCCTTGCTAGCCAGGGAGAAGCTCACTAGCTTTATCTACAAGCATTCAAGATTACTTCTGCTAGCTCGTAGTGTTAGTTAACCCAGCCTTATTCTGACAATCGCAAGTTTTTTTTCCCCTTCTTCTTCCTTTTATAAATTGGATATATTTTGCATTACATATCAAAGCTAAATTCTTGTATTTCCCACATAACTTTATGGGAAATTGCAATTAAATTGCTTGAAATATTCACATTGGGATTAAGCTTACATGATAGGTAATGGGACTAAATCAATGGCCAACTAAGCCACTGTTATTTTTCCTTCCTCTCTGGCAGGGCACTTGATCCATTCCAAAGTCAGAAACTGGACTAAAGCTAATTTGTACTTTCCATAATATACATTCTGCTTCTGGCTTACCTTCTTGGTACATTACATCAATATATTAATTGTAAAGTTTATTGTATAGTATTTAACCACTGAATCTTATTTTATGTTGTGCTTATGTGAGCTCCTTGGTGAAGGTCCCATTTTCCTTGGATAATGTGTAGTTATATGATCTCTTTTTAAATGTACAGATATTTTGCTATAAAATTGGTGCAGTTTTTTATGGTTTTTACACTTTAATTCCCACCTAAGCCTCTGGGTAATATTGTAAATATTGTTTAAAAATGCATCAGCCTGTGCTATACAATCTGAATGTTATTTTAACTTATAGGTTTTTTTTTTTTTTAATATATATATTTAACTACAAGGACAGTTTAGGGATCAGTTACCACATTTCACTTTAGCATACCTATTTACAAAAAATTACTTTTAAAACTGCCACCTGCTAGCACATTTTCATAAATGTGTACTTTAAAAAGAACATGCTGAGATTTTGTCTGTTGACTCAACATTCATTTTGGTGAAAAAAGCAATTTGACCATGAGCTACAACACAAGTAGTCGGCCCTTTATCACAAGCAGCTGTTTTCCAAAGCTCAGTGCTAATGAGCATATATTAAAATAATTACCTATTTATTAATCTACAGATAGACAATAATGTTGGCATGTTCTTTTGTTTATTAATGGGCCTGCTTCTTAGCAATATTAGAAATGTTTTATAAAAAAGCAGTTCATGTTACTTTTCTGGTCTTTTCATGGCATATGAGCAAATAAACTATTTACACTACTATCCTGTAATATGTTGTGATCTTTCAGGGGCATACTTTGGCAGGGGGGGTTACTAGTTCCATGGCTCAAACTCAAGATACAAACTCTTGATCACTTGCTATATGGAACATAGGAACCACATTTTCATAGTGAGGGACACATCTCCCAACCATTAATGATTCTGTTGCTTCCAGAGAAGCACTTTTGTTTGGTGAAGATATTGCCTCCCCCAGATTTGTTCAATGAGGATGTTGTGTGTATACAGACAGGTTATGTGTGGACTACAGAGGTAACCAGGTAACCTTGCAACTGACAACCACATCAAATGGTTGGCCAGGTATGTACAAGCCTTTTGGCCTCCATTGCCCAAACATACTGTTATTTGTAGTGATAATTCCAAGTCCTCACAAAAACTTACGTGCAACATTCAGTATAACTTTTTAGGGAAGCAAGGAAATTTGATATAGATTTTTTAATGTTTGAGAGTGAGTGTGAGTGGGGGAGGGGCAGAGAGAAAGAGAATCTGAAGCAGGTTCCTGGCTCTGAGCACACAGCCTGACACGGGCCGAACTCACAAACTGCGAGATCATGACCTGAGCTGAAGTAGGATGCTCAACTGAGCAAGCCAGGCACCCCTGAAATTTGATATTTTAGAAAACTGTCCGAGTGGCTTTAAAACAATTTTCTTACAGGGGCATGAGTTATTTAGTTGTTGTATTAGGTTTTTGTTATCAATTCAGTGGTCTTCTCACTGCACCACAGTTATACAATGTAGTTGAAGCTTTATTTTTATAGAGAAGAAAAAGTTAAATTTCACTTAGTAAAATTCTCTAGTTTGTGCCTTCATGGTATTAGAAATAAGATTTTTTCATTAAAAAAATTTTTTTTTAATGTTTGAGAGAGTGAGCCAGGGAGGGACAGAGAGGGAGACAGAATCTGAAGCAGGCTCCAGGCCCTGAGCTGTCAGCGTACAGCCCAATGCAGGGTGCGAACCCACAAACTCTGAGATTATGACCTGAGCTGAAGTTGGATGCTCAACCGACTGAGCCACCCATGTACCCCAAGATCTTTTTTGTAAAGTAGGCTTCATGCCCAGCATGGAGCCCAGTGTGAGGCTTGAATTCATGACCCTGAGATCAGGACCTGAGCTGAGATCAAGAGTTGGATACTTAACCCACTGAGCCACCCAGGTGCCCCAGAAATAAGATTTTTAATATTATACAAATTTAGAACATTTTCAAACCCAAACCACAGCAGTAAGTTCAAATGAGGTAGATATGGTTAGGTGTAGGCCGTTATATACCATTAGTAACATTTAAGTTTTAATGTTTATTCATCTTTGAGAGGGAGCACAAGTGGGGGAGGGGCAGAGAGAGAGAGGGCGACACAGATTCCCAGCAGGCTCCAGGCTCTCAGCACAGACTCAGGGCTCGAACTCATGAGCTGTGAGATCACGACCCGAGCCGAAGTCGGTCGCTCAACACTGAGCCACCCAGGTGCCCCTAACCACATTTAAAGATGCTTGCCCATGACTCAGAATTAAGTCTCCTGATTCCCCACTCCCAGTCCTCTAAAAGTCTAAATTCTAATCCACTAAAATTCACTGCAATGAATGTCCAAAGGGCCCTGCTGACTCAACAATGATCAGCCCAGAACGGGACTTGATACATCACTGTGGTTCAACATACTGGATTTTGTGAAATTATCTTTTACATTGGAAGATATGCTTTTATAATAGCTTCACAATTCACATACCAATTAATGTGATAAAACTGCTCTCAGCCCTAAGATATTTTTAAAAATTTTATCAGAAGTGTCTGCAAAAACGATTGGGCCGGTATATGAAAGGATTAATTTTTCTCTTAAAACTAATACCTGCTCTATTTTCAAGAAAAAATCTGAAACTTGAAAAAGTGCATCAAGTTGTTGACAGACTTTCTTTGGTCTAATTTTTATAGAAAAAATCAAGTATGACACTGAGGAAACAATGTGGGCATCTAGCCTCTCACAGCACAAAACTGCTGCATATGAGGGGTTCTTAAATGAAAAGTTGACACAAATCCAATTTACTTAGTAAAAAGATGTCATTTTTTCTAATAAATTATATTTATTTACAAAAGTCTAATTTTATATAACTATTAAGGTTCTTTACATCAGAACAATATATAAACAGAAGAGAAAATCTGGTAATTACAAACACAGAAAATAGAAACCTGTTCCCCCTATTATTACTCACCTTTCAGAACAAATCTTCAGTTTAGTTGTAGAGAGGTAGGCAAGAGACCAAACCTACCAAAGTTTCAGGCAGGGTCAAAATAAAAGAGTATTTATAAATAGCACATTTTCGATACCCCAAGGAACAGCATAAAAGGGCATTAAGAAATGGCTTTTGGATTCTGATTAGGCAGCCACTCTGTTTCAGACTATCAATGAAAACTGGGGTGGGGAGTTGTTAGTTCTCCTAAATTGCAAACAGCAATAGGCCATTATACCTGGGCAATTACCAGTCATTAACAATAACAAGATGGCCTTGAAGAATAGATCCTATGGAGTCACAAAAGCAGTTTTTATGTAGCAAGTCTGAAAAGCACAGAAAATCTACTTAAACTTAAGGAACTTAGGCCAAGGAGACAAGCTAAATAAAATGGAGAATGGAGTGTGTAATTGGAGCCCCGTTTTTTCACTTCCCATACCTCACGCTTTGTTGGAAACAGCCTGAAATAATTAGTTCTCAGTTTAGAATTTAGGAATTTTTTTGTTTCCAGCATGGCCTTTAAAGACTAATTCTGATCTAGCTAAATTACTACTTTTGAACTACTATAACTTATGAATATGAAAACTATGTTTTAAATCACAAAGGATTTCCTTTCCTACTCAAAACCACATGGAAGTAACATGTTCTAACAAGCTTTTGGAAATTTCTGTAGTAAAAGTGACAAGGTACAATCACTAGAACTTGTCCTCAGTGCATTTCGATTATGTATGTGGCTTTAGTTGTGGTTTAGTATAGATTATTGCATGATGCTTTTTCAAGCATCTCCTATAATGCAGAGGCTGGGTACCATGGATATTGGGTAAGTCTGTCAACTAAAATTTTACATCCATTCAATGTATGCCTACTGTGTGCCAGGCACTGTCTTAATCCACAGGATATAGCAGTTAATGAAACACAAATCCCTGTCTCCAAGGAACCTATCATTTAAGTCCAAACAACTGAAAAACTTAAGACCAAGGTAAGATTTAATAAAGGTAAGAATCATTAGACTGAAATATGCTATTAAGCCTATTTAGAACACAGTTCTGTGAAAAACTACTCATGACATTTTGCTTTTCCTTTACGTACAGTTTTTCCTAGAAAATATGAAAGAATTAAAATTGTACCTGGTACTGAGATACATCCCCAAGGGGAAAAGCAGCAGCCTGATTTAAGATACAAGGAATTAATGTGCTTTGCCTTATGTTGCTTTTAGAAATGTTTATTTGGTTCCTTAGTTTTGTACTTTACATTTAAATTACATAATACTCTTAAATATTCTATAAAGCATTCGTCACTCCTCCCTGGGCACTATTTGATTAGAAACCGTTCTCTCTCTCAAATAGCATCTAAACTATAAAAAAAGAAAAATCTTTATAAGGCTACCCCTTTCTGGATGCAGAGAAAAGTGGCTGCCTAGTCAGCACTGAGTTGACCATTAACACTGGGAGAAAACCAGGATCATCTAGACAAATGCTTGGTAACACAGGACAAAGGCCCTTTGAAAAATGATAATTATGGACCGTGTTTCCAGATAAACGTAGAGACATTTCAGCTTTTACATTTTCTTTACTCCACCAATGAATTTAGGCCTTACTCTAGGCCATTTTTATTTTATAGTTGTATGAATTGAGGCCCAATTAGCAAAAGTCAAGCTGTGACATTTTGATCATTTTCGAATTTACTGGGAGCCATAAAAAGTGAAGTTTTTATTGTTGAAAAACATGACTGATCTATATGCTGAAGCTCATATGGGTATTAATGAAATACTCTTGCTGTGTTAAACAAAAAAAAAAGGACCATTGCTTTTATTTAAAAGCATTATTTAAATAAATTTGGGAAAGTGTAAAGAATTCATCATACTGACTAAATTCACTTCATACAAATTCAATTTTCCCATATAGGAATTACTAGACTGCAAGAAAAAGAAAACATCAAATATTTGAGATTCTTAGACTATTATGTTATTAAATATATTAGTAAATTTAATCCAATAATTCATTAATATTGATGTTACAGAGGGAAGAAAAACCCTCATTTACCTAAGAGTCTGATGCTTAACTGAAAAGTATAAATTCCCCTCATCTGCAAATAAACATACTTCCCTGTTTGAACACACGTTCCATAAGGAGTTTGAACAAATCTGTTTAACATAACCAATATTCTAAGACATTTCAGGTTGTAGCAGACTGAAAATTTAGAAACCTAATCTAGTAAATTAAAAATATTCACAAAGAACTCTTGCTATAACAAAAGTTTCCATCACCTGTGCCTTCAGGGTTATACAGTATCTTTTTGGTAACTAAATTCCATTTGATGGGTTTGTTAAAGTAAGCAAGGATTATAGTCACTTCAGTTATATCTCTTATAATAAGGATATTCTATTTTGAATTGCAATTTCAGAAAACTAGTTTTTAGGTCAAATAATTTTCATGGATGAACTACAGAGAAACTTGAATTTGTATTAAAGGAACGTGAGGTGGTAAGACAGTACCTCTAAGAAATACAGAAATCTATTTTGAGGACATGCTAAAACATATCAATAGGTTTTTATTTAAATAGAAAAATTAAAACTTAAAAAAAAACATCATTCATGGAATTAAAATTTTACAGATTCTAAATTCTCTTGTGAAACACCACTAGTACTTCTGCCAATATGATATGCACTTTAAAGATTTCACCACTGACTTCCATGTCAAGTGTCTGACATGATTAGTGATATTAACTATCATTATGAGACGTTTGAAAATTAAATCTAGGCAACTCCCTATTGCCAAGGTTGTTATATGTTTTGGTTCTAATATACAATAAGAGACCAACCCTCAAGTAAGCAACTTCATTACTTCACATATTCTAAGGATGTTCTCATTTTCCACAGTCCTGTCAGTTTTCACAGCAGAAAAATGACTTGGCAGAGTAGAAACAACTTTCCCACCCCCTTTTTCTTGAGGCTTGAAACAGTGGGCAGGGATGGGAGAGTAGTCCTGGTCATTTCATTAGAATGGTGAAGGAAAAATAAGATGAACTTTTTGTTCTTCTAAATGCCAATTGAAATAGGATTGCTCCAAGTGTCCAAAATAAAAAAATACATAATGCCAAAGACTATGTGCTAATATTTACTTATTAAAAAAATCTCCTGCACTGAAGGAAAATAGTATAAATTACATTACCAACTTGCAAAAGTTAGCATGTAAAGAGTATTCTAGCTTCAAACCACTGCCTCTCTAAAGTTTTCTATAGGAAATTTGTAGATCAAAAACAAATTATAGGGGCTTCAAATGTACGGGTTTATAATATTCTTAAATATTAAAAAGGTAAAGTAACCTAGCTATATGGGTAAGATGAAGCAAAATTTCAAGGATTTAGTATCTTGAAATGATAATACAATTTTCTTAGAGCTGAGTAGTTTAAGTAGAAATAAATACTAGTACACGCTAGAAGAGAAGGTTTAATAATTGATAAAAATGTACAAAAATATTCAAATCAGAAATGCTTTAGAATGTGTACCACGAAGTCAATACTTCTCAGTGAGTAGGGAAGATAAAAGACTTCCTCAATGAAAAAAAGCAAGAGAAAAGATTGGATTTAAAAAAAAAAAAGACAACTGTTAAAGAAAATGTTTAAGTCAACATTGATTTTTGTTTCAGACAAGGATATTGCAACTATCACTTAAAGTTTGGTGGCACATTCTTTAGTAGGTCCTTAAGGCAAATATATTTAAACTAATTTACAATTTGATTTGATGTTATCTTTTTAAACATCACCTCAAAATAATGCCCTCACGACAGCCTTTTTAAAATGTACTCCGATGTTTCATAAAAAATAATGGTGGCTTTATTATAGTAGGTGCTCATTAGCACCACTATAGTTAAGGGTCTACCAGGTTTCCATTATGAACACCTATTTCTGAGTTCACCATAAAAGATCGTATCAGCTTTAACCAGTTGGGTAGTGCACAAAAAAGCAGTTTTGTCAGTTGCTGGTGCTTTTTTTGTACTACTAAATATCAAAAAATTTTTCGTTATATCTTCAAAATCCAACTTCTATAAAGTAAATCAAATCGCCTCATGACTTAGACTTCAGAACAAAGTAGAGACATCTGCAGTTATCAGTAAATTGCCACCTTTAATCCATCCTGCAGTGCCCTATGAAAGGGTCTCAGAAAGACAGTTATGACCGTATGAAAATATGATTCTTGATACAGAATCAAAAGTTATTTTCAATTTCCTTTGCTTTTATAAAGTCCACAATAACAATACTTAAATGCACTTTTTTTTTTCCTGTGATATAATTAAAACCCAGTGTTATTTCAATTGAACTTTAAAATAGAATCCCTGGTCTGAATTAGACTTTAAATCATACTGTAAACATATATTTGGTATAATTTATTGATCATCATCCAGTTGCTCCAGAAGGGTCCTTCTGCGCTTTTCCAATTCCCCTTCACTCAGCTCACTGCCAGAAGTATCCCAATTCCCCTGAAAGACATTGTATACAATTACATTTAATGCCAGTGCTCAAAATATTAAGTAGTATTAAACCTTTTAAAACAAAAATCCAAAATTTATACGGATTCTTTTCCATAGCAACAAACCCATCACACCAGTTTAAGGACTGACCTCTTTTCCCAAAAGTCTACCAATGAGCTGCTCGCTACTCCTTGGTTTATTAGGGGAGACAGAACAAACTTTTAACACTGGTTACTTTTCCTTCCTGTTACACCACTGAATATGAAACATCTTGTTTCCATTTAATGGGGGGGGGGG